CCTGGCAACATGGGCCATCATCATAAGTCTTAAGAACACCATGCCATGAAAGGCCTATGCTCAGTTTCACTTTGAGACCCCTTGAGATCAGGGATGAGCTCATTTTTATCCAAGGCATCATGGCTTTTTGAGAAGAAATTTCAGGAAGATATCTGACTATAACAAAAAAATGGTTTTCCCAACAGATCAACTAATGTCAAGAGAATGAGGGGTGCTTTTTAGGAAAACAACGTAAGAACTTCCTGAATAGATTTAACTTAGGGTCCATCATCCCTGTGCCATGGAGACACGTGGCACAGTGTCTCCTTATGTCACTTCTTGATTAAAAAGTTCACTCTATAAATGTTAGGAAGTGACCCAAGAACAGAAGGAAAATGAAGAATATCTGAGAGTGATTTTTTAATGTGGTACTGGAGGTTGAACCACAGCCAACGTGCCTGCAAGCAAGTGCTCTGTCAGTGAGCTACACCCCTATCCCAATGTGTGTGTTTTAATGGGCAGCCAAATAGAAAAAGAAATGAAAGCTTTCTTTGGGACTCTGGCTTTTATGGATTGATGACAGTGATGTGGAGGATTTGACCTTTCATGATGCTTATGTAATATGCATGTGTCTCTCACAAAGGTTCCAAGCACATAGAAACTTTATTTAAATCTAATTTCCTTTGTTCAGGAACTTAGTGGAAAGTTCTTTCAACTATCCAATTTTTGTGGCAATCAGAATTATATTTGGAAGAGGTGACTGATGTAGCCTGCTGAATGGTACTGAGAGTTAAAAAAAAAATAAGAGACAGTTGGAGGTCTTGGTTCCAAAGATACCCACTAGCCATTTAAGGCAAAAATACATCAGCCTCAAAGCCTCAAGTTCGATTTATAGAGGAGCTTGCATTGCAATGTTATGCTTTGAACAAGACTATTACCTCTCAGCATTAATACATAGCTAAGATGTATAAAACATAAAGGCTTTCAAATGCATGCTCAGAAACACGAGAGATATCTCCATAGAATAATTAAAGAATAGAAATACAAGCAAAGAGCAGTAAAGCAGAAAACCTACAGAACTACAGGACTAGAAGATAAAAGTGAGAAATTCATAGGATGTGTCTGAAAACATAACACCCACCCCCCCAACATTTCACAGATCCTCACTAAACAGAACAGGAGAGGTAAGGCCCACTACTTGGAAGCAAATACCAAGGAAGATTCATCTTGTCCAAAGCAGAAATCCGTGCAAGTGATTTTCCATCTTGTCCTAAGGATCAACAGAAAGTTCACAAGCATCTGTTGGCTCATTATTACTAGAGAAATGGAAACACCAAAGCACCAGTATAATACATAATCCTCCTTTGGAGATCTCAGAGGTAGAAAGGGAAGTAGCCACAAAACCACTAGACAAATGAAGAGAGGAAGGGTGACAGATACAGTTATAAAATTAATGCATATTCTACAAAATTAAAAAAGTTGAAGGAAAGGATGAAGATGGGAGAGGTGATGGAGAATGATGAAAGGGGTAAGGCATCACAATTCATTGCATTCACATACTGTTTTACTGAATGGCAACTCCTTTGTACAACTACTAAAAGATTAAAAGGAATAAATTAAGTCATAACTAATGTCAGAAAAAACACGACACTAAATGAAGAGGCAAGAAAGAGAGAGAGAGAAACAGAGAGGCATACAGAGAGACACACACACAGAGAGACAGAGACTAAGATAGTGATAGAGATTATTCGAGATGAAATCACCAAACATCACCAAAAGCCTAATAATTATGGGGCTGGGAATGTGGCTTAGTGGTAGAGTGCTGGCCTAGCATGCATGAAGCCCTACGTTGGATTCCTCAGTACCGCATAAACAGAAAAGTCCAGAAGAAGCACTGTGGCTCAAGTGGTAGAGCACTAGCCTTGAGCAAAAGAACCTCAGGGACAGTGCCCAGGCCCCGAGTTCAAGCCCCAGGACTGGAAAAAAAAAAAAGCCTAATAATTAAAATAATAAAAGCTTTCTCCCTAAATAAAATGAAAATAATCAAGAAATCTTAAAGTGACTTTAGAATGTGAATATGGTTCTGGGAAAGTTGCAGATCTAGATTTCAGGGCAATGATTGAAAAAAATGAAGTAAATTACACACAAAAGTAGCGCTTTTAAAAGATAATATGGTATTATAGAAATGTAAAGAACTTTATGAGCTAAAGCCCAGAGAAGAAAGAGTCCTGATAAAAGCAGCCCGAGACTGCCTGCTTTTTCCCACAGGTTCATTTTCTACATTTTGGATTTGGTTGAAGATCTGATCTTGCGAGCACAGGGGATTTGTTAGGAGAAAGAGAAATATGCAACATTTCTGAAAGTTATGGCAGGGCTGGCAGGAAATTTTGGAAATTTTAGTAACTATTTTAATGGATAACTGGCTTTCTGTTTAAGAAATTTTCAAAATTCTAGTGATCAGTGCAAGTCTAGGCAACTTTGATAAAATAGGAAAAAAAAATCTCTGAGACTATCACAATATTTAGAATTTTTTTTTCTCCTGCTTGAAAACTGTGGCTCACCTCAAACACATGCCAGTTTTTCTTCCCAAAACATTTTCAAATTTGGAAGGGACAGAACTTCAAACCTCTGAAGTCTGAAAGTAGATTTTCCCCAGCGTTTTCAGATTAAGAAGATAGGAACCTGCCAGCCTGTCAATCAAAAGTTCAAGGAAGATTATTCCAAGAAATGGAATGGAAACAGAGGTGAGAGAAATGAATCTTACTAAAGCAGCCCAGCTTAGCCCTGATTAGATCAAGCTGGTGATCTCCTTACTGATTTGCCTGAGAGACAGGGAGCTTATGCTAGTGGAAGATATTATCTTGAAACTCTACAATTCCTCTTAATAAAATGGCTGGCATCTAATGAAAATTTCTAGGTGTGTGACTTTATAAAAATGAATCAAATGGACATTCTTGGGCTATGGAACACAACATGCAATGCCAGGAATTTTTAGGTAGGAATTTGATGCTAAGTGAAGAGAAAATATCCAAACTGAAGCTCAGAAAGGAAATGGAGAGTGAAATAGAACATAGGAAACACAGGAAGTAATTTAAAGAGCCGAGGTACCATATCTGGGGTTCCACACAGAGGAGAGATAATAAGGATGGGGTTTATATGTAGAAAACATTTACAAAGTTGATGAGAGATGACCACAGACTTTTAAGTTTCAAGCAATGCAGACACACACACACACACACACACACACACACACACACACACACACACACACACACACACACACCACTTCAGTTTATAGTAAATCAAACAACTAAATAAATCAGAGAGGAAAAATATCAAAGTATCAAAGCATGTGCAAGAGGCAGGGGCAGGCCCTGCTGCTTTTGGATGATCAGTAATAAAACCAAAGGCTAACTTTGCAGCTAGAAAACAATAAAATAGCAGAAAATATCTTTCAAATTCTGGGAAAAACTTTTCCAACCTAGAATTTTCTTTCCACCAAAATACTTTTTTGGTATGTGTTTATTTGAAATTTCAGCAAAGAAGTATAATCCTTCAAATGTAATGCTTAGATGTACAACAGATTAGATACAAAGAGCAAATTGAGAAATGTGAGCAAGTTTTAAGGACATAAGCCAGATTTACACAGGAGGATAAAGATACTGGATATAGTGAACTTAAACTAACCTGTGCTTACAGAAAAATTTATAGTGTTAAATGAATTTATTGAAAACTGAAGGCTGGACGTGGTAGCCTATGCCTGTGCCCTCAGCAATTTGGGAAACAGAAACAAGAGGATCACATTCAGAGGCTAGGCTGAGCAAAGTTAGTGGAGAACTGATCTGAAAAATAAAAAAACTAAATGCAAAAGAACTAGGAGTCTGGGGGTGGCTCTAGTGGTAGGCACTAAAAGAAAGAAAAGTGCTAAGTGCTCATTTCAAAAAATTAGAGAAGTATTAACAACTTAAAGCACTGTGAGAGTATTGATGGTGATAGAAACACCAACAATAGATTAGAAACAGAAGTAATAAATCAATCAGCCACAAAAAGTTATTTCTTTTAATCACAGGCAACTTTATCAAGCTCAAATAAATCTAAAATTGAGGAAACAATATTAGAGATTACAAATAAGACAAAACTATAGGCTCTAGAGATTTAATGCATGTATATTCATGTGTATGTATATAGTATATAATATATGATATATTAGTATATATATTCTATCTGTATATGCATTCATATCTATATGCATTCATATTCATTTCATATATTTATACATATGAACATGTTAATTTTTATATAAAAGAACATATATAAATATATAATATATAAAAATATTTTAAAATCAATTTTAAAAGTCAGAATGGTCAACTGTTTGGTTTTTTTTTAGTCCAGTCGTGGGGCCTGAACTCTGAGCATGGGCGCTGTCTCTCAGCTCTTCAGCTCAAGGCTAGCGCTCTACCACTTGAGCCACAGCGCCACTTCCGGCTTTTTTCTTTTTTGCTTATGTGGTGCTGAGGAATCGAACCCAGGGCCTCATGCATGCAAGGCAAGTGCTCTACCACTGAGCCACCTTCCCAGCCCCAGAATGGTCAACTGTTTAGAAAGATAAATTACAAATATGGGCTAGGGAGAAAACAAAAAAACTAAATGTTCTTTAATCAATATAATGGAATAGGTAATGATGATGATGATGATAATTGATAGCACTAGATAGTTTTCGGCTGAGATTTTACAAACCTTGAAGGAATGTATAAACTCTATCTTCCCAAATGGCTTCAAAGAATCTAAACAGAAGGATGTGTTCCAACATTTATTACGATGTAGCTTGAACCTATCACCAAGCTGGATCCACCTAGGCAAGAAGGGTCAGAGGGGTAAGAGGGGTTAGAATTCCCTGGGTACATTCATTCATGCAAAATGATTCAAAATACAACAGATGTACATCACATTCATAATTTTTGAAGGTTTCTTGAATTTTTATTTTATCTATAAATATGGCCATTCAGTTTACTCAGTAAAAGAAAATGTAATGCTTCATGAATGTGTGTGCTATTCTTGTGCAGCTTTCATAACTAATCTCTGTATAGTTTCAATTTTAGCATATGTGCCACCAAAGTGAGCATCACAGTCATAATTTTAAAAACGAAATTGTGTAAAAACAAATAAAGTAAGCTAGATGCCAGTGGCTCACGTCTGTAATCCTAACTACCCAGCAGGCTGAGCTCTGAGGATCACGTTTGATGCCAGCCCAGGCAAGAAAGTCCATGAGACTCTTATCTACAACTAAACAGAGAAAAAGCTCCAAGTGGTGCAATGGATCAAGTGGTAGAGTGCTAGCCTTGAGCAAAAAGGAGTTCAGGGACAGCACTTTGAATCTAGAGTTCAAGCCCCAAGCCAACCCCCCCCCCCAAAAAAAAAACAAAAAAAGGTGTATCTTAAACTTAAAATTCAAGAAAATTTAGATATCAGGAAATACATAAAATAACATTGCATGAGCAGAAGAAAAAGATATACCTCTTGAATTACAAAACGAAAAAAGCTGCAAATTTCAACATGCATTTTTATAAAGAAGCTACTAGAGATCGAGGAACCTCTTCAACTTGATAGACTATATCTAGCACAAGAAAGATGAAGTGGACAAAAAGGAGGAGGAAAAGGAACAAAAAAAGAAAGGGAAGAGAAAAAGGGGTAGCATCTTATTTAGAGTGAAGGACAGTACCACGGTGCCTTCCATTACCCCATGTTACCCAGAAGTTGGCAACCAGAAAAAATACAAGAAAATTTGGTATAAAATTTATATTTTCAGATTTATTTTAAAAAGCTAAGTGCAATATAATAAACTATACATCAAGCATAGTCATATAATCACAATAAAAATTGCTGAATAAATCCATCACTCTCAAAGTTTTCATACTCCTCATTAATCCCTCCTTGTGTTTTACCTTAATGTTAACTCCCAGTCTCAAGTAACCACTAAGGTGCTATCTGTGATGTAGCAAGTTTCACTTTCTAGAATTTTGTAGATATTGAATCATACAAAATCTTCGCTTGGTTAGGGGTGCTCTGGCCCACTTAAATCAGCATAATGATTTTGAGATTTACTTACGACTTTCCCCCCACCCTTTATCAATAATCCATTCCTCATGATCACAGTCTCTATCTGGCATATGGAATGTTATATATATATATATATATATATATATATATATATATATATTATTCATTACTTTTTTGATAGACATTCAGGTTGTTTTCTATTTGAGGTTATTACAACAAAAGTTACTATGACTAACTATTGAACATGCAATTATAACTTGGATGTTGTCCACACTTATTTTAAGACTTGGAGGTGGAACCTCATGAGAAGCCCTTAGATCAACGGAGGCATGCCCTGATAGGGTAAGATTCTTACCCCTTTCTCTTCCTCTTCTTTCTTCTTGACTCCTGGCCATGGAGTGGGCAGTTTGCCCCATCATGTGATCCAGCCATTACCATCTGGAGCCTCCCCAGGGACTGGGGAAAAAAGAGTCTGTCCATCATATGCCCAAAGCTCTAAAACTACAAGCCAAAATAATTGTTTCCTCCTTATGAGTTTATTTTATCAGAAATTTTGCTACAATTATGGAAAGCTGACTGAAAAACATAATACCAATCGACATCCCAGTGGGAAATTTAGACATCCAGACAGATACATATAGATATGTGTAAAGATATTTAGATTTATAGGCATCAATATAGTTCTCTATCTCCTGATCTCTCACCAGATACTACAGTGATTCCTCACTGTAGTGTCATCCAGAGGATGACACTACACCCCCCACCCCACCCCCTGCAAACGGTGAAAACCCAACAAGTAACAGCAGCATTGTATAGTTGTCCTTTGCTATATTGCGGTTCACTTACTGCTACTCCATGGACTTTCATGTATAGCAGAGTCTTTGGAACATAGCTCCCTCCTGCCATAGGTGAGGGATCACTATTTACTTTTTTTAAAACCCACAATACAGTGAACCAGGACTGCATATATTTATATAATACTTTTCAAAAATAGGCAAACTGATCCTAAAACTCATATGAACTTGAGAAGGGTCTAAAGTAGCCACAGCAACTTCCAGAAACACAGTTGCATTGTGTTTTTTTATGCTGGTTTATAATATAAAATATATTTATCTCTGTGAGTTACCAAGGAATGAATTGCCCTAAGATGGCACAGGAGTCATTTGCTTATAGAGAGAATGAGGTGTACTGGCCTTTCCTTACACACTGATGAACCCATATGGAGGGAGCAGCTCAGCCAGGAGATTACCACATGCACTGTGCTCTCAAATGCTGAACTGAGTAAATTCTGCCCAACAGGGATTGATCAGAGAAAGGGGAGTACTTAGTAATAGCAGGTCCTCCCATACTGGGAACTTGGGTGGGCAATGTCCAACAGACAGGATACATTCCAAAGGTGACCAGTCCTGACACCATTGCACTGAGAAAGAAACCAGTGGAGAATTTATTCCTGGATAGAATCAAGCTATTGTTGGTATTGTTGTTATTATTTGTGCCTGTAGTGGGCTTAAACTCAGGGCCTGGAAACTGTTCCTGAGCGTTTTTGCTCAAGGCTGGTATTCTAACACTTGAGCCACAGCTTCATTTTTGTCTTTTTGATGGTTTGAGGAGATAAGAGTCTGAGACTTTTCTGCCCAGCTGGCTTTGAACCATGATCCTCAGATACCAGCCTCTTGAGTAGCTGAATATAGACATGAGCCACCAGCTTCCAGCTCATTTTACTCTTATAGTCAAGATAGGCAAAAATCTTATTGTAATATGTTCCAGTCATGTCACAGTTTCATGAAGATTGAAACAACCAAGATAAGACATTCCTCTTTCCTTTCTCCCAGACAATGCTGTATCTAAGTCTGCAAATATTGCCTATAATTCTGACTTTGGCACTGAAAGTAGAATAAAAATGAAATGTAATTTTCATAAGCAGTGAAATTGGGAAATGGTTATACAAAGTCTGATTAATGTGCGTAGACCTTTTCTTGCTAAGATTAGAGGCTGAAGGGGGATTAAATGGCATTTATAAAATCCCAGAGCACTTGGCCACTCACTCCTTGGGGCCAAGTATCACAGGACTTCCCATCAACATTGTACAGAAAATCAAGCCCTACCTTATCTATACGGCCTGAACAAACGAAGCCTTACCACAAAAATCTACAGAAGGTATGTCATCAATAGTGACTTGAGGAGAAATACCCATCTTTTTCCTTGTTGATTCTCAATGATAACAAAAAGAAAGTACTGCAAAGCGGGGTGGGGAGAACTAAGAAACTGACCTATGAAAGTCTATGAACAGAACTCCTCAGACCAATGACATTGAACCATGAAACAGTCAAAGCTAACTGCTTCTCTTAGAAGTGGGCAAAGGGTGACTCATCTTTATTCAGCTCTAGTTCCCTCCACACGGAGAGCCCTTTTCACTCCTTCCTTTCCTCTGCCCAACAAATTCCCATAGGCCTATCAAGACCAGATGTGAAAAGAGGTGAGACGCAGATGCAAGCATAAATTCTTCCCTCTGCGACAGTGATTGCTCAGCCATGCGTGCTCCTGCCCATGTCAAATGCACTGTTCACTCAGAGCTATCAAGCACACATAGTATTGACATTGCTTAGGTTTCCATAGATGAAGCCAGGATAACAGGTACTCTGTGTGTGTGTGTGTGTGTGTGTGTGTGTGTGTGTGTTAGTATGTTTGCTCAGGTGCTATTTATGCCTCAGGAAACAAAGTGGGTCTCCCTGCATTCTTTCCGTGACCTCCAGAGGGCCATTCTAATTGTCCTATGACCATGCCTCTTCAAATACAGAGTAATCTTAATGTCACTCTCTTCCCTAGCTCTTTGTGTTCCTGTCTGTCATCCTGTCCCTTTGTCCTTGTCTAGTGTTGAGTTTTGAGAGTAAGCCAACCAATGCAAAGACATGAAAGAACTTCAAGCCTTCCTGTTCCTCTTCCACAATTATGCTTCACTGGTTATGGGGAAAATTCAGTAGTTGTCAAATAACTTCTTCCTAGATAGGTGAAAAAAGTAAATTGTTGTCAAGATTAGAATCAGTAAATTTGTAGTTTTTGTCCTAAAATTGAGATGGCTAGAATCTTAGCTAGTTAGATAGCATCAACATGTCCTTTTCTTATCTCTCTGATTAGTGCAAATGTTAGTCCCAACCAGGCAACAATAGAGAATTCAACAACAGAGGTTTGATGATGATGATGATAATGCTGCTCATGTTGCCAATGATGTCATTCATGGAGCAATTACCATGTACTTTTTGAAGCATTTTATAACCCATTTATCTACTCCTCAACCCTAGAAAATAGCTATCATTATTATTATTACTACTATCCTCATTTTATAGATGAGTGAAGTTTAGGGTACAAAGAAGTTAAGTAGTTTGCTTAACATCTCACAGCTACATGGAGTGCCATGAGATCACACAGATTGAATTTCCAGGCCAGTCCTGGCAGAAAAGTCCATGAGATACCATTTCAATAGAAGGAAGCTGTGCAGGCTGATGCAATGCTGCCATCCCAGTTACAACAGGAAGCCTAAAATAGATGGATTGCAGTCTAAGCCATGTACCTGAACAAGAAGTAAGAGCCTATTTAAAAAGTACCTGGAATTGCGGCTCAGCAGTAGAGTACCCGAGGCCCTGAGTTCAAACCTCAGTACCTCCAGGCACAAGTGGCTCATGCCTGTAATCCTAGCTACTCAGGAGGCTGAGATCCGACTGGTTCAAAGCCTGCCCCAGCAGGAAAGTCCCTGAGACCCTTATCTCCAATAAACCACTCAGAAAACAGGAAGTGGTGCTGTGGCTCAAGTGGTAGAATGCTCACTTTGAGCTGAAAAGCTGAGGGACAGCACCCAGGCCCAGAGTTCAAGTCCCATGACTGACAAATACAAAAACAAAAACAAAACTCAGTACCACTACTACCAGAAAATAAATAAATAAATAAATATCCATGTAAGTAGTAAGGGTAGATTTCTAATACCAGCAGATGGCTCCAGGAAGTCTCTGTTCCTTTGATACATTTTATCTTCAATTGGTATGTACCTACTCATCAAATATATATATTAAGC